CTCGTTGGGTTTGAACTTGCGAGTTCCTCTTACACAGTGCCATCCAGTGCCAACCCAGTGCGATATCTTCCTCGCCTGGTATGCAGGAGGCCAGGGGTTCGATCCAGACCCTGATGCCTGCATATTTGAAGTTTTCATGTTCTCCCCATGGCCGTGTGGATTTTTTTCTCCGAGTTCTCCGGGTTTTCCCTTGACATTTAAAAACATGCATTTAGATTATTTGGCTGCTATAAATTTCCACATGATACGCCACTTCGTTGAGCTATCATTTGTGGCCAGGTCGCTTCTGGAAAATAAGCTAATAGTGGGTTTTACCTGGTAAAATAAGAATCGTTTATTGTAATAAAAGAAAATGTGATTTGCTTACCTTTTCTATACTTTGCACTCCGATCGTGTTTTTGTATTGTTTGTTGTTGTAACTTTCTGACCCGCCCCTACTGGACATCCTCCAGTATAAATAAAGATTCTAATTCTGTTATCTGTGGCACAACGATTAGGGCACTGCGTTTTTCCTGATGTGACCGGAGTTCGATTCCTAGCCATGGCTAAAATCATTGGCAAGCGATCCTTCTCCCCCCCTCCTTCTCAACATCTCGTCCTGATCACCATGGTGAAGTGTGATTTTACAACCCCCACGATTGGCACAACTTCCAGAGGATTCATCCAGCAGTGAATTAGTAAAGGGCCATAACTTATTATTTTTACTTGTATAGAAATTGTCATTTAAAGTTCGTCATGCTCTTTGGTGTTCATCATAGTCCATTGTATTTGTGATTTAAAGAGATTGTTTTCCATGGAACCGTAAACCTTGTTGATTTTGGTAATATTTATCCGGACTATATTGTTCCATCAAATTAATAGGCCTCTGTTTGAGGCTTATGATAAGTGTCGGGAAAGAAGGATTGTACATAGAGACGCCTCTACTTACGAACGAGTTAGGTTCCAGAGGTCTGTTCATAAGTCGAATTGTTCGTAAGTCCAACTTTACTCTTGTCGATTCCAAACATGTTGTGCAGCATGTACACTTCACTGGTTCTTCACATTCTGCAGATGTAGATGCCACCACCGCCATCCATTGCGCGGCGTTTGAACAAACGACTCGGTCCGAACAGGCTTGTTCATATCTCTGAATGTTTGTAAGTCGAGTGTTCGTAAGTAGAGGAGTTTCTGTACTAATTTGTTCCGGCCTTCTAAATTTGGTTGAACATAGTATGGATTAGACGAAAGAGTTTGTCTGGTAGAAACAGCCTTCATGTGGTTGGCAGAATGAAGGAGTGAAGTTCGTGGGAACAGTAACCATGGTATGGTAGTAGCGATAGAAGAGTGATAGAGAGGCGATCGACCACCAGTGTAAATACTGTAAACTAAATCTAAACCATAAAATTGTTTATTGGTGGCTGCTCTGATGCCCTATTCGTGTAGCGTAAGAGAATGGATCCCCATAACTCTCGTGTGAAAACTTAATTTCATTGGAATTTCTTCGTTCTATTACCTCATTCTTTCAAGAATTAGCTCATAGGTGTTCACTTGCGCTGTCAGTGTCATGCGTGTTTTTTGTCGGGATTTAAGGTCACATTTTCTCAGTTTAAAAAAGGGAATGACCAAAGAAGACTAAAGTGAAACCACAAACTTTTTCGTGAACAGCTGTTCACGGTGTTCGTTGCCCATTTAGGAATTTGCAGAAGTGCTCATAACCTTTAGCCGTAATTTTATTATTTATGACAGAAATGTTATTGGGAAGTTGATATCAACATTGAAAACTGACAGTTCTGGCAGTCAATGGTTAAATATAATAATTCTGCATAATAAAGGTTTTTGAGTTAGATCGCGTTTATTTATAAATGTGTCGTAACCCTCCACCACCCGACACGGCCAATCAGCAAAAAAAGTGTCACGTTGACAAAAGACAAATAATTCACTACTTCAGCCCACCGGTGTGTTGAAGAGTTAATCCACATTTACAGTTTGAGTACGACGTTTCGCTGGTAAATACATCCAGCATCATCGGGCAATTCGCCAGAATGGTAAAGCCCTCGCTTGCTCCCGGTTTTTGGTCGCGAAAGCCTACGTGTTAAACATAATAATTCTGCTTTGCTTTCTATGGTGGAGATTTAGTAATGTATCCCTTTTGGCGGTTCCGCATTTCTTCACAGTAAGGACAAGCTTTTGGAGAGCAGAGGCTCAGAGGTTAGCGCACTTTGCGACAAGATCAGTGACCCGAGTTCGATTCCCACTCACGGCCAACACCAGCGACGTTTATCTGAACCGGTCCTGGGCCTCCCCTAGGTCGACTCAGGATCTAATGAGTACCTGGTGTTGTGTGTAAACATTGCCTTTCGGGAGACAAAGGCGGCCGGTGTGGTGCTGGCCACCCACCTCCACGTGTGTCATGCCGGCCTTCATAGGTGCCCGCTAACTGCACTTGCCCCAAAGGTCTGTTAAGGCTATATGGAGGGGGGGGGGTATCTGTCTTTGTGTGCTTTTGTGCAATGTTGCTGTTCATGACTGAAGATTTGAAGATAATATAAAGGTGGGATCGGTTGAGTTTAGTGTAAAGCGGTTGTTTTTGTATTATGAGGTTCTCAACTGTTGTCTTGACTAAGTAGTGAACCTGTACGTGATACTTCATTGAAAACCCAACAATAATTGTGCCCGTCATAATATCAGTCACGTACCTCACTTAACCAGGTGAAGACCCATTGAGACATGCGGTCGGATTGATGTATTGTACCTCTCTGCCAAGATTCAGTAGAAAATGGCCAAATTGCTGCAATGTGCTATGGAATAGGTGGATTCTGCCAATATGAATTAGTCCATTCTCTCATTTAATAGAAATAGGAAATGAAGATACAATACGTGGGTTTAAACAATTGTAACAATTACACATTGCATACAAGTGAAGTCATGAATAGAAAGATGTAGTTTACATTTTGCTATGAATACCTGTGTGGTGTAATTGCAGTTGACTTGTAATAGTTTTTTACATAATTTAGAAACAAAGTTTTTGCACGTATATATTTAAAACAATCCTGTCATCATCATTGGTAAGCAACTGGTAATCGTTAACTGTCTAATCATATATATTTTTTCCCGCAATTGTCTTTGCACTCGTCCATTGATAATTGTACACATTTTTAAAAGGGTCGTTTTATATTCGCATGTTAACAAGAAGTGCAATTTTAATAAAAAGTGCCATGCAGTTCGTTACTGGAGAAATTTGAGTGCTATATATACTTGCACGAGGGTGACTCATTTGATTCAATTCCATGTGACTGGCAAATGTCAATTAATGGTGAAAATACCAGATAAATTGAACCACAAATGTATACGTGTGAACTATTTCCATAATTTTTATTTTGCTCATTTAATGTCTTGATTTGTGCCCAAGTCGCATATCTTAGTGTTATACAGTGACCAAATCAGTGGGTTTGTCATATGCATTTGTAAGTTCACATGAACCGCTCATGAACTCTTCTGCAAGCAGAGATATTGTATTTGTATTCTTAACAATAAATTATATAAGAAGCGGAAAAGGTCAATTCCACTGTAGCCCACTCTGTAGGTCCCTTGTTATTGCTTTAAAGCGTCGTTATTCACGGGAGAAACTGCTACCCGAGGATCACAAGAACAACGGGTCGTGTGTTAGAATTAAGGCTGAGCCATTCTCCTAACTAGATGCGGATGATCACACACCGCTCGAGATTGAGTATTCCATTATGTGATCGACTATAAGCTGACAGCCAGTGGCTTGACTCAACTAAACTCATTTGCAGCTGCCTCTCTATTAACCCCAATCCAATGTCAATAGTGCTCGTGAAAAATTCAATGTCTAAATGCACAACCTATTTGGATCATCTGTATAAAACAGCAAGTGATTGTGGTTATCTATGCTAAGGTTAGGAAGCTCAATAAAGTCATTTATCTATTTTAAGTATGTCCTTAAATTACTTTGGCGATGCTGCACCCTCCCCTCTCCCCCATGACTCCTTTGGTATTTTCCATAATAGATGTTTTTTGGGGTGCAGATCGCATAAATACAGGATGCTTCAAAAAAATGTTAACACTTCCGAGAATTTGCTACAATACCACAATCAATGTGCCTCCGGGCTCAGAAAACCACCCGGAGAAGATTCCAGGCATGTGTTAACAATGATGGCGAACAAGTGAAGACTCTTTGACTTTTTGAAGCTAATAACATACATTTGTTATCATGTTACAGTGTATTATCTGTTCTTTTCCCTTTAAAAACGATAGTTCTACTTAAGTGGTTACATTTTTTGAAGCACCCTTTATGAATGTTAAACCCGCCACCACCTGACATAATCACTGGGTAAGATTTGTCACGTAAACAAAACATGCCAATTCGTTACTAGTTCAGCACACCGGTCCTGTGGAGAGTAAGCACCAACTTACTTGAATTGTGAATGTCGTGAGTTTTAACGACACATTGATATTGGTCACGAAAGCCTTCGTGTTTTAACACGGTGTTTGTTTGCGTAATTTTTTTTTACCATTCCTGATAAGTATTCACTGCTAAATGGGACTTCTAACACATGTGCGTTGTTGCCTGAGCAGCGTGCATTGAGTTCCCGCTGCAGTGCGCATGCCCATGGCTCTTTGCTCCCCTTTGGTCATCCCCTCGTCTGTGTTTCCCTTTTCTGTGCACATCGGTGTGGATCGGTAATGCCCCCAGCAGTGATTCTATCTTGCATGCAACTATGTTAACATATTTATTACTTGAAATGCTGTAAGAAAATTTTCAAATAAAATGTAAACTGATGACTATTTTAGCCAATATCAATTTCATCACTGTTGGTAAAAGCCCATCGTTTGCATCATTGACGATGTTCTTTGGCTGGAGGCATTTTAAGTGTGGTGTGTTATTGACTTAACATTCTAATAAATACTGCCAGCTTCGTTCCAGCATTTTTGCACAATATAAAACTTTGTATATATTTTTTTTGCAGAACATTGATTACATTTTTATTCTTTAAATGCAGGAACCCATTTAAGGCCCAAGAACCCAAAAGGCCTGTCGTGTCAAAAACTGTAAGTACCTCGACATTTTATGCATTTTCTGTTGCATTTTCCCCTTGTATGTATGTACATTGAACTTGTTTAGCATCGTACGTAGCTAACCGTGCTAAATTGGAGGTGCGGGGGGGAAGGGCAGCAAACTGAACAACAAAAGCACACGTCTCTATTGTTCACACGATTTGCTTTACTTAAGCTTGTGTTAGCCATTTGACTGGCCGAGATACATTACGGTGCTATACATTAAATAATATAACGCTTTTAAATTGTCTTAACAACACGTGGCGTCAAGTACATTGCATAAGTAACTCGTAGCAGCCACTTTAGGTGCAAGCCTTGGCTTATTGGAGCCTTCGCCCGACCTCGGATTGCTTGGTACCTTTCGGCTGAAAAAGGTGCACGCCATTTGCTCTGCTAAGTGAATCCAGATGTGTGCACGTTTACGCGTCCGTGTGCCAGCACCAACTTACAAGAGCGTCTGAAGAGCCCTTCCAAGTGGCACAGGTGTTGTTAGCCTCAGAATTTACACTTTAAAAAGAGCTTTGGAGTGTGCAGTTTCTTGGCAGCATCTGTGAAGTTTTGCAATGGGTGTTTTTTTTTTGTATTCAAAGCATTGCAACCCACCTGACCTGTGCGTAATGTAGAGAAACAGCTTGGCTTTTGCATCCTTCTGAACTATGTAAATTACTTTTGGAGCTACGTGCTGACATTTAAGCACAGGTTATGCAATGGCCCTTGCGTCTGCTGGGTGCAACTCAAATAGATTTCTTTTTTTTTTTACAAGAGCCCCGGTAAAAGGCACGAACCGTAATAAGGGAGGGGTGGGGTTCCAGAAATTCTGCGAACTGAAGTCTGAACTCGGTGCTCTTGGGGTCTGGGAAGGGGAGAAGATTGGGCTCACTGCCCCACTCATGTAGTAGGGACTGCGAGCAGTGGGAGTGTGCGGGGTTTATATGGGCAAGGGAAGAGGAACACAATTGAATGGAAAAAGGGGTGGTGGTGGGGGGAGGATGCACATTACAAAATCTTCCAAGTAAAATAACCTACACGCGCCGAGTGAACGTATCGTCGGTATAAGTCCCGCAGAGCAGTTATTCAACTCCTGTCTATCCCCGGGGTGGGATACCCCACACGCCCGTTCATTCCCCCCGACATCCATGCATGCGCACCTTATGTTTGGCTCTGTAGGAGATTCACCTCGCCGCTGTGATGTTAAATACCACGCCTGGTATGCAGGAGTTCGTGGGTTCGATCTCAACCCTGACGCCTGTATATTTGGAGTTTGCATGTTCTCCCCGTGGTTGTGTTGATTTTTCTCCGGGTCCTCCAGTTTTTTCCTCCACATGTAGAAACATGCATTTAGATTATTTAGGCTATTTTGTTATTATAAATGTCCAAATGATGAGCCACTTTGTTGCGCTATTATTTGTGTCCAGGTCGCTTTTGAAAAATAAGTTAATAGCTCAGTGGGCTTTGTCTGGTAGGATGGGGATGGTTCAGTTGTTTGTGTTTGGGTGCTTTGTTTTATCTTTCTTGTACTTTGCACTGCTATCATGTTTTTGTAGTGTTTGTTTTTGGAACCCGTACCCCTACTGGAGACATCTGTGAAAAAGAGATGTTTAGCTCCGGATTCCTCCAGTATACATCTATATTCTGGTTCTGAGCGACATCATCGCACATAACGCATGATGACGTCACTGCCGTGCCTTGCACTTGGGTGAGCGGCAGCCAGCCAGACAGGAATCCATCCAGGTTATCCATCCAGAATGTTTTTTTTTTCTCCTACAGTATGAAACCTGTGGAAATACTATAACAGTGTATGAGCAAGGTTACCGGTTACAACTCTGAAGCAAGAAAAATATTACACACAACACTATTGTGCATCAAGCGATACTTAAAAACAATCTTATTCAAATTAACAAAGTACAATACAACTTCCTAACTACAAACAACCATTTATTGAAATTAAAAACATGTGCAAACTGCAAAAAGAAATGTAATACTGGAATCAAATTTAAATGAAAACTATTTGTAGTTGGTGCTGTAATTGCATGCACTTAAGCTTCCGAAATGTTTACGTTCATATTTGCAGTCATTGATTCAAACTGTGAAATGTGATTTGATCATGATGGGAACGATTATAATTGAGGCATTACACCTATGCTGTTTGTGTTGGTAATTATTTTGTATTTACTTTTTGGGGCTTGACAGATGGCTTTTGAGATAAGCCTCAGATTGCCAGGGTTTGCTTATGGCATGAACAACCCTTTTAACTACAGTTTTACTCCCTTGCCCTAAATGGATGTACAATCGTTAGGATTTAATTATTGCCCATTTCTACATCCAATCAGTGATATTGATCGACTTTGATTCTCTTTTTATCTTCTTCCCTTATTTTAACTCTTATTCTATACAATTTCACTGTCTTATTTCTAAAAACAAAATCACTACTAATTGATACGGTTTATGTCTGGACTTGGCCATTAATTTAACCAGGCGTGTGTGGGTATTTCTAAATACCCGTAGCGTCGTAGTTGTACGACCGGTTTCAAGACGCAAAGCTAAGACGCGCGCTCATCTCCGTCACTTCCTACAGATGATGTAAATTCACATCACGGTGGAGAACTAATCCAAAGGAGACACCACAAACCTACTTCAATAGGTGTGCCTTCAATACGCCTCTCACAACAGCCACAAGACAGCACCTCTCTTAACTCTAAACCTGAAATTAACTTTTCATTGTATCATTAAATCTATTCTTTCTAATTCCTCCCCTAGTTGCCTTGAAGCCTCTAATTACATTTCACGGAATTGCGCTTGCTCTTGTCAGGTTCTGGAAGCTAAGCAGGCGTGGAGACTGGGTAGGGCTTGGATTGTTTGCTACCTTTCATAAGAAGGCATTGCAGTCAGCTGCGGAGATATGTTGTCAGCAGAGATCTGCTCCTTGTGCCTTTATTGCTTTCAGCAGAGGAACAGTGCAGCAGAAATCAGTGTCACACTCGACTGTGCTCCAACGTCTATGCTTCCTGCCTTCACAAACCCGCACTAAGCAGCGTGATGAAATACGGTAAAATATTCCCGACAACCTGCACAGAGTGGAGAGGCACTCATTTAGCAGTAGCGTATCAAAAACGGGCTGTATGTGTTGATTCGAATCTAACACTGGCAGATGACTGAGCGACGCAACTGACATTTGTGGAGTGAGCGTCTGTATTGCAGCAGTACCACCTTAATGTTGCTGCTGAATTTCTGGCTTCTGTCCATTTAAAATAAGTCAGCACTCGTGTATGACAGCGTTTCTCCAGCACACTTTCGGGCAAGTTCCTGGTGGTGACTTGTACTTGCTTGCAATTCTTTGGCAATACAGCAGCAGCAGTGGTCATGGCCCGGGTAGGCCTTACCTGGTAAAATAAACAATAGTTTAATAAATTGGAAGGAGTAGAAGCAACAGTGAATTTGCAATCCCACCCGATTGTACAGGCTGCGTGCAGCCAGATGGCAAGAAGCCAGCCACCCTGTTATCGCGTGTGGGACGAACAATTTGCCTTTTGTCCCACCTTTTCAAGTGGCCTGATATATGCCTGTATTGACCCGTTTTTTTGTACATTCGTGTAATACAACTTTTTTTTTATTGGCAATGGCCGTGAGTCACATTGCTGTAGTGTGATATGCAGGATGTTAAGTGTATACGGATAAAAACAGGCATGGGAATATTTTCAGTTGCCAGCACTGGAGCTTGATGTGAGCTTATTCTCTAACCTATATATTTGCACTGCCGAGTTAAATATTAAGCTACGAGTTGTGATTAACACTGCTTGCTTGTATTCGTTTAAATTACATACGTATGTCAAGTCAAAGTGTCTCCCTGATAAACTGCTCAATGCGCAGCGCTAATCTCTGCTGGGAGTAAAACATATTAAGTTCCAATTGTAGGTAGCAGTCTCTCTCCATATGACAATAGCTGGTAACTTTTCACCAAGTGCTATTCAACTTATTGACCCTGGTTGGATAATCAGCCTAATTGCATTTAAGACTGTTTTACAGTATAATTGTAATTTACAGCCCTTTATCATTCCACTGCTGGATGGCAGAATTACTTTTCCTTTCAGTCATGTTTGGTTTTTGACCATACTTCACCTTGCTGGTCAGTGCGGGTTGGTGGAGGGGTTCCCCAGGACCAGTTTAGATATCACTCACCGTTGATGTTTGCCGTGGTTGGCAATCGAACTCCGGATGCCGGGTTCATTCTGCAATTAACTAAGCACTGCACAATAGTTATACGCCTTATAATGCTTTAGAAATCCAAATGTTATTTACGTGACCATGGACTCGCAACCTTTCACAGCATAACGCAGCTGGATAAACACATGTGGTAGGCACCGATTCACACATTCATGTGGCGTACAATACTGCGTGTAGACATGTTTATTAAATACAATTTGCGAGTAATGCAACATTAACATTGAAGGGGGTGCTAAAAGAGGGTAGTGTTATGCCAAGTTGTACATTGGTGTTTGTGTGTACAACGTGGAGACATGGTTGAGTGCTCTTCTTGTTAGGACCTTGATGACATCGGGGATGTAATTGTTCATCGCTCAGCCATGGCCAAAGGGTGGAGCTGGCAGTACTACCAGCCAAGTGGGACGCAGTTCCAAACTGGTGGCAGCAAAGGAAAGGAGTGGCTCTGAACACATTGTATATTGTCTGTTATCACACCATCAGCAGTGAAATTTAACTTAATGCTTGTAAACAGCCGTAATTCCGTGTCTGGGCGACCACAGTGTCAAATGACCTGTGAATGTTTAGTCACAATGGTGTCGGTGTGCCATTGCTTGCACCCGCAACTCCGATTAGGCACCATTGGCTACGTAAGATGTGAAAGGGGTTCAGTGTACATGCATACATACAATTGCTTTCTGCAACTGTTACCTGGGCATGCCACTTTGTAGACAATATAATGGCATACTCTTTGGTTTTTTCGGTAAAGTCACGTACCTACAATGAGGGAAAAAAAG